GTTCCCCAGTGGGCATATTTTGCATGACAGTTTTGAAAGGCAGTATTTTTTTTAATGATCTTTATGTAGATAAGGTGAAATCTGTGAGGACATTGGCTTTGTCGATTTGAGATTTGTTTCTTGGTATTTTATTAGAACATGCTTTGCCGCAGGCTCTGTTCTTGTGGAGAATTTCAGATTGCTCCTGCTTCAAAACTTAGTTCAGCATCTTTTAATGCAGGAAGCTGCTACACACACTTTCATCTCCTACAGGAGAAATTCTCCCCACTCTGTCACCATTTCTGAACACCCACTTCCCCATCACCATTTTCTCCTTCCTTCCAAAGTTGGTTTGTCTGGCAGGGAGAAGGCTGCTGGCTGCCCACTCAAAGTCTTTTGCTTCAGTTCAATGGTTCTGACCATTAATTGATACTCAAGCAGCATAACACCTTTTTATCCCATTTCCTCTTCATTTCTGTCCACAGGGAAATTTCCAGAACATGCAAAATTCCTAGCCTCTCTGTGCCACTTTACATGCTCTAGCACCACAAGGGGTGTGTGAGATTCTAAAAGTGATTAAAGCTAGTTTAGCTAAAAATTCAGTTGGGTATATTTGGTGTTCGGGTTTGGGTTTTTTTTGCTTGCTTTGAAGGACAGAAAGGGAATAGCCCCAAAGTCTTCCTAGTTTTTGTTCTGGGGTTGTTTGTTGGGTTTTTTTTCCCAAAGGGAGAGACTAAGCCCAAAAAATGAATGTTTGGCTTAATGTAGCTGTTAAGTTTCATATCCGCAGCTGCCACACTGAAGCTTCATGCTCAGTGGCTGCTTTCATTAGACTTCTGAGAGTCTCCCCTCCATGCATACACATGAACACACATACATGTTAACAAATACTTTAATGGTTACACTGAGAGCCATTTGGGAGCACATCTAAAGCCTACTTTTATATTGGAGAAGGTCTTGCTACAATATGCTAATGGTTGAAATGTCTCCTACTAGGGAGTGAAGTGGTTGTGGGAGCCTCTCAACACATTCGGGACAAAGCCTGCAGTGTGGATTTGAGCTGCTGAAAGCTGCAGGAATCACCTCTGGGCTTGCTTTGAGCTGGGGATGGGGAAGGATTGCTCTAGAGATGTTTGTGCCAAGTTTGAAGATTTTTAAATATAAGAAAATTGCAGTGTTTTGGTGCATAAGCAGTGTTCAAAGCAAAGAATAAGGGTGGGTGTGATAATAATTGAAGGTATTTTATCACAACCAGACCTAGAAGCCTGGGATTTTTTTTAAAGCACTGTTCAGCTATAGCAGGGAAGGTCTAAACTCAGTGCAGAGTCATCCAAGAGGCATGATAGTTTGAGCCTGATTTCTGCTGTTGTCCCCTAAGGAGGGCAGAGAAGAGAGCCCCCCACTATTTGGACTCCAAGTATAACTCCAGACAGATGGGAGATGCCTACAGGAAGAGTGTGGAAGAAGGGAACATGGAGGGGATGCAGGAGTGAGCCTGTTCTGGGACACAGATGAAAGATGTTTATGCAGGTCTACATGGTTATGTCCTACAGGAGATTTGAGGATGGCAGCTGGGAGGATGGCACAGAAGGATGATGACTTTTTAAAAAAATCTCTTGTCACTCAAAGGTTACACCAAAATGGGAAGTCCTCTAACACCAGGCCTGTAACAGATGAGAGAAAAGTCCTGAACAGGTTATGATCTTAGCACATGAGAAGGTTTAGGATGCAGCTCAGGAGGCATGATAGTGTGTTTGTGCTGTTAGGTAGGAGTGACCTGCTTCACAGCTGAGGCTGGGGGAGGTGGGAAGCTGGCCAGTTTAGGAAAGGATCTGCTATTCTTGATGATCAGAGGTTGAATATGACTAAACATGATTTAGGAAAAAGCAAATGTCACATTCCAGTGTATAAACAGGAGTAGATGGTTGCATAGGAAGCAGCTGGAGCTTGTTGAGAAAACTACACAGGGAAATAACAGAGAAAAAAAAGAAGAAAGGTGGAGGACAGCCAATTGACTATTAAAAGGTAAAACAAAGGTGTAACGTTGACATACTAAGAGGGCCAAAAGCCAAATACAAGACACAGGATGAAAAAATGGATGCCTGTCCATATATGCACCTTGTCGAGAGTATTACTTGATGCCTGGGGAGCAAGTATGAAAATGTGGATATGATCCTAAGGTTGCTTCAGTGAAAGTTGTGATTTATTTGCATCAATGGGTTGGAAAGGATGCACGAGCACATCAGATACACAGGTACACCAGACAGAAACACAGAATAGAAAGAAAATAGAATGGCAGAAACATGTATGAAGAGGAAAAATCTTGAGTCTGTATATTTAAGACAATGGAAGAACAGAAAAATAAGTGGAAAATAGATGTGACATCACTGCCAAATAATTATGCCACCTTGAAAACGCACTAGGGTGTCCAACATGCCCCTAAAAATTATTAAGTGAAAGGTATGCAGAATAGAGATTTGGACTGCTAATATTATTTTGGGGGTGCTGTCAACTCTTTTAGAAGATTTGCTATGGGGCTGCTGCAAGCCCTGTTTATGGTTCTTCACTAACTATGAGACTAGTAGGGAATGGGTGCAGAACTCTTAGGAGGAAAAGAGGGAGGAAAAGTCTTCCTCACCCTAACCCCCCCATATCCATCAGAAGTGCAAGAGTTGACTGTTCACAGAGATGAGTTCCGTCACTATGTGTTCATGTTATCAGCCCTGGAAGAGTGCAGGTGACCATGTCCTTTTTAATGGGCCAGCAGTTTCAGTATGGGTTTCACATCAGGCTGCACTGCCTGGGAACTGGCATCCCGACTGGAGCTTTGTGTCATACTGTCTTCAAGGATTTCAGTGCACACCTGAACACCAGCTTTGAATGAATGGTCTCTCTGCATTTTAAATGGCATGAGCACTTGTCTCTCAACAGTCTAGAAATACGTGTAGAAACCTTGTTGCATGTTTGTCCTCATGCCAGAGGGGTTTTGGCTCATTTAGTTGCTCATTTCATTCCCATTTTTACATGGAAGCTACCTCATGTCCATAGCAATATGAGGTCCCAATGTAAGGACTTGGCGTGATCTCATTCATTTTGAAATGACCAGTCAAAAATCTGCTAAAACTGTTAGCCAGCAGGTGAAATGAAAGCAACTCCCAAGCACATTGGGGTTTTGTGTTTGTTTGTTTTTTTTTTAAAAAAAAAAAAGAATCACAGACTGAAAAAAAGGATACGCCGAGGCTCCAGCCCAGTCTTCTTTCCAATAAGAGTTTTCAACTGTGTGCACAAAACCAGCTATCCTCTCAGTCAAAAAAATGTCACTTTGATCCAAGGAGCTTGAAGGAAAAGTGCAGGAGAGCTGTTACAATTAGTGTGGAATCTCATTAGCCTGTACCATTTTCCCCCAGTAGGCACTTGGTTTATTTGATTATCACAGTGAAGATATAGTGCAGTTTCAAAAGGCAGACCAGTCCTGGATTATCTGAGCTCACCAAAGCTGTCCCCTGTGGTTCAGACCCCTCTTTGTATTGTTTCCTTAAGGCAAGAAAGGCATCAGAGCTGCCTTTATTGGCAGTTGGCGCTACGTGCTGGGAACCTGCCAAGATTAATACACGAAACATTCTCCTCCTCACCTCCTGCTTTCAGAAGTAACCAGCATAAAAGTGTTATTCAATTACTACCCAGTCAGAAACCTCATGTTGTCAGAAGTTGTTAGTAAGAAGACTGATTATTAATGATGTAGCGAGTTGCACGCTTTAGCATGTCTGTGGAAATGTTACAGATGTGTATTTATTTGTTTTGTTAGTTTTGCTGTGAATTAGTAAGTAAGCTGCAGAGAACATAAGTAGCAAGTAGTTAGGTATAATTTATTCATTGTTCCTTTAATTATTCTGTTTGTCTTTATTCCATATTGTCAGGTTTTCAGCTGCCATTGGTAATGAAGGCAAACTGAAAACCCAGCTGAAGACACAAATCCTTTACCATTTTTCAAACAGGCAGGGGATTCATCTTTTCCTGGAACTGATTTATTGCAACTACTGTCTAATGCAATACTATGGAATAAGCTAAAACCTTATTAAAATTTTAAGTGCTCCTTTGAGGAAAGTACATTCAAGTCATTTGCAATATCTATGTAGAGCTATCTCAGTCTTTTTTGTTTGCTGCCATGGAGAGAAAATATAATTTCTAGAAATTTGTTTTAATTACAAGCAATAAACTGAAACAACATCAGTTAAAACTGTTGAAGAAAATCAACAGTGTAATTTGACACCTCTGAGTTAGAGATGATGAATTAAAATTTCAGTATGTCTCCATTTCTCCATATGTTGTAGACTGACAACAGTTAATCTCCCAACTAAACAGTTAATCTCCTAACTAAATATATGCAAAAAAAATTTCCCAGTTACTTTACCAGCACAGGTATGATTCCTTTTTGACCAAGGGCTATTTTGTATGTTGTTCCTGGTGAAAACTTTTCTTTCCAGTGTGATGTTTCTCAATTTTTTCTAAAGTCACAAATTTTTCATAGAGCTATTTTTCACTGTAAATTTGGAGACCCTAATTTTCTAGGGAATGTGGTGTTATTCTGGGACTGTTCCTTGATCTGCTCTTCTGACAGTTTTACTTCAAAGGAGTTACTTTTTGCTACTTGAGCACTTTCCTATCCCAGGTGATGTTGCAGATTCGTGCAGGACAAAATTCAGTGTTTTTGAGAATCACATTCTATAACCCAGTCAGAATTTGACTTGGCATAAGAGTCTATCAGAGATTGTGTACTGTGTAAAATAAAAAAATAATTCTGATGTTAAAGTCATGCCAAACAGACAGAGGCATCCTTTTTCCTCACTTTATGAGTCTCCTGTTAATATAAAACTGTAAAGATTTGAGATGCACCTCATTTTTTAAAAAAATTATTTACAAAACAGCTGTTCATTTTTTCCCAAGGTTTTCAATCTGTCTCTCCAAAACTACAATTTCTCGTGCTGTTTACCACTCTAATTCAAAATGAATTTATTTTGTAGCTATCCCTTGAACAACAGTGATCTGCATCAGTTCAACATTGAGGAGAATGGTGGAACACCATATACCACAAAAATGCCCCCGAGGCACCACCACCACCACCGGCACCACCACCACCACGCGAATTACGGCGCTCTTGCACCTGACAGCAAAGATATTGTTCCTGGAGTTCCAAACCCAAACAGTAAGTCCACAGCAGTAAATGTCATTTCAGAAACTGTGCTGCTTTCAGACTTGGGTCTGGCAAGGAAGGAAAGGAAAGGAAAGGAGAAAGGAAAGGAAAGGAAAGGAAAGGAAAGGAAAGGAAAGGAAAGGAAAGGAAAGGAAAGGAAAGGAAAGGAAAGGAAAGGAAAGGAAAGGGAAACATCATGCATTTCAGTTTTTCACCTTGAAGAATATGCTTCCTGTTACATTATTTGCTAGCTTTGTAGTATGTGCACAAGACAAGATTTACAGGTTCCTGGCTTTGCTGTGGGTTTGCAGGATTTGGTGTTAGATTGCTGATCCATAGCTTAACAAAATACCCAGTTAGTCACAGATACTGAGTCTCTAGCCCCCTTGGCACAGGGTATTTTTTCACTGTTAGTATTTATTTGCATAGATTAACAAACCTCTCCTCATCTGCCTTTGTTTTTTGCTGATCTGCCCAGCTGGCCTTCAGCCCTCATCATTTGGATAGGACTCTTGCTTTCATGTCTGGGCACAAACAGCAGAAATTTTGGAGCACTGGACAAACAGCATCTTGCTGTCAGTGTGGGTAATGGGAACAATTCCTGCTCTGCCCCAGCTACCATAACTGGAGTATGTGCACTTACTCAGTGGAGAATTTCTTGATATATAGAAAACAAAAATGAGAGAAGTTTGTCTGTTGCCAATGCAACCTTGGGGATTCAGGTGTAAGTCTCTGCTGCTGAACATATATATGGGCTTTTTTTAAGGGTACAGAGCTCAGCCAAATATTTGAAGGTTTACACGGGAACTGGAAGAGAACATCTCTGCCATTGAATGAGTCTACTTTTTGCCCTCCGAATTTATAATCTCTCTACTCTGCAGTGTGTGAGATGCTGAAGCAGTGTAAGGATTTCAGGAGATGGGCAAAACAAAGTATGATCTGTTATTTTCCTTGCTGGTATAGGATGGTAAGTTCTTCCTTTGCCCAGTTTTTGCCTTTATAGCTGTAAATCACCCAGAGATGGGCATCCATTATGGAAACTTTAAGTCTTTCAAATTCCTGAAACCAGGATCACAAGTATTTTAATCAGACTTTGTTTCAGCAACCCAGAAACATTTTCTTTCACAACGGGAGGGAAGTAATGGTTTTTAGGAGGGAAACTTAAGAAGTAAAATGCAAGATGTTTAAGGAGAGCATCCTTAGCAGCAATTTGAATTGCTTGCTGGAGCTTTCAGTGAAAGGGGGTGCTGGCAAGGGGGAGCAGGAAGCCTCGCTGGGCTGTCAGCCTGGTGCTGCAGGATGTGGTGACCGCGTGTGCCAGCCTGTGTTTGTCTTTCCCAAATTAAGAGTTGAAGCATGGCAGGAGACTCAGTCAGAGCCAGCTGTGCTGCTGCCGAGTGTCCCGGCCCCAAGGGCACTGCTGGCCCTGCTGCCTCTCTGCCCTGCCCAGGGTGTCCTGCCCACAGCCCAGGGCCTCATGTCATTCCCGAGGCCTCGGCTTCTGCCCCAGGAATGCTGCAGCAGAGCTCCAGCTTGGCTGGGCTGCTGAGCCCAGCACGCCCGGAGAGCAGGAGGTGATTATTGAAACAAAAGCAAAGAATCACAGTACAGGGAGTTTATTCCAGCCCTGGGTCTCCTCTTGGGCTGTGCAGCTTTCCTACTCCTACTTTTTGAGGAAAGAAAAAAAACAAACAAACGACAACTTTGAAAAAGCTTTAAAAACCATAAGAACAAAAATAAGGAACAATTTTGTTTGTGCCCCTACCTGTGAGATGAAATACTGGGCCCAGGAGGCTGCATCCCCTTGGGTGCAGGGAAGGTGAGCTGTGGTGCTCGGAAGGGGACTTGGACAGCCGAGAGAGGCTTGTAGCCCCCATTCCTGGAGAGAGATGCACCTTTCTCTTTTGTCTGCTTGAGGCTGGTTCACATCAGCTGCTTGATTAGACAGAAGGGAATCGGTGCTGGCTCCTCACATGGCCTAGTGCCGGCAGTGCCAGATGCCAATTTCCCTGCTCCCCTGAGGGGGCAGACGGGGACAGGGGCAGCTTTGAGGGGAGGCTGTGGTGTGGGCACACCAGCCAGCCCAGCTGAGCTGTTGAGGTGGCTGTACATGGCATGTGCTGGCTTAACACAGGTGTGTTGCCCACAGCAACACATCTCTGATCCCCTGAGGAGACCTCTACCCACACAGAAAATGGGGTGGATTTCCTTGAGTTGCTTTCCCTTGGAAGGCCAATCCACTTTTAGACTTGGCATGTTTACGCCACTAGATCACTGAGGTATGGATAAGACTATTTCCCTTAGAACAGAGCCAAAGTTGCTCCTTTGCTGTTTAACAGGTCTGGGTGCCTTTTCAAGGTTGGTGCTCAGTGCGTTTGTTTTGGATTGGTTGGGTTTTAAAGGGTCCTTTTAAATACTGCTCAGGTTGTTTCAGCTAAGAAAGCTGTCTTGTGGACAGCCTTTGGAAAAGGCTCATAGTTCATGTGCTGAAGCCATGTCCAGTTGTCAGCTCCCCAATACAAGAAAGACAAGGAATTACTGGAAAGAGCCCAGTGGGGGGGGGGGGTTATGAAGATGATCAGAGGACTGGAGCATCTGCCCTGTGAGGAAAGGTTGAGAGACCCAGGTCTGTAAAAAGCAAGGGATTTCTGGGAAAGGGCCCGGGGGGGGGGGGGGGTTATGAAGATGATCAGAGGACTGGAGCATCTGCCCTGTGAGGAAAGGTTGAGAGACCCAGGTCTGTTTAGCCTGGAGAGGAGAAACCTGGCAGGGGATCTTATCAGTGCTTCTGAATATCTAACAAGTGGCTGACAGAAGGGTGGGAACAGACTTTTCAATCCTAGCAACAGGATGAGGAGCAACAGGCACAAACTGGAACGCAAGAAGTTTATCTGAACATGAGGAAAAACTTAATTACTTTGAGGGTGGCAGAGCATTGGAACAAGCTGCCCAAAGAGGTTGTGGAGTCTTCTCTGGAGATACTAAAAACCTGAATGCAATCATGTGCAACCTGCTCTAGGTGAACCTGCTTTAGCAGGGAGGTTTGACTAGGTGACCTCCAGAGGTCCCTTCCAATTCCTAACATTCTGTGATTCCATGAAATGGTTAGGAGCATGCTGGCTGTCAGTCACTTATCTAGAATGGCACACACGGCAGAGCATTTGGGACAAGAAAATATCAGGCAGAGAGGAGACACTATCGGGCATCTGTGTCAGGAACCTGAGGACAGGAACCTGAGGGGACTGATGTCTGGCTCCAGGCCACATGGAAAGGCCACTACTGGTAAAGTGTTTCTAGGAAGTAAGTGGTCACTAACGTGGGGACACTCTCAGGGAAGAGTGTGCTTGTGACCAAAATATCTCAAGTGGAAATGCCTGGAGAGCCACAAGATGTAATGCAGGGAATATGCTGTCTAGTGGAAGCTGACAGAGATGAGGCTGTGCACACCCGCATTTCAGTGTGGCTACTTTTTGGTTTTCAAAGGGGCCATGGGTATTTTTTGACTTGCACCGGTTGGAGTGGATTCATCTCTGAGCTCTGAGGTGGTTTTATCTGAAGTAGAACATGGAATGAATCACCGATATGTACCCAGCATCAGATCAAGACAAGGAGAAAGCACCTGCCTTTCCTCCACTTGCAAATAAATGCCAAAATTCCAGCACAATTTGCAGGACATGGTCAGGAGAAAGAGAAACAACAGTATGCCCTGCCAAGGTTCTCTTTAAATACTGATGTATGTTTCTCAGCAAACCATAGCCTGGGATTTTTTTACAGAAAACAAACTCAGGCCAGAGGTGCCTGATTTTTCACATTCCAAGTTATTTGTCTGCTTCAATTACCGGAAGAAGTGAAATCCAGTGAAACAAATCTGACGTGTGTGTTTATGAAGGCAGTTCAGCAGAAGATATTGTTTTCCTTTATTCAGCCTGATTATTCTGTTTGCAATGCTGCCCTTTGCCTCATAGCTAATGTACATGGATCACATTTTTTTATGAAGCAGATCTTCCCTCTGTATATTCACAGAATCCCAGTCCCAAGGACCACTATATTCCAGAGTAGTTAGCCTTACAGTGCTGGCACCCCTCCAAGGGAGGGTGAGCTGCTTGCTAAGCCTAACTGACATGGCATAATCATGCATGAATTACCAGGTGCACATGGGCAGATCCACCAGCAGCACCTGGGGCTGTCACCAAAAGCAGGTGCCCAGCAAGTATGCAGTGTAGCTCGCAGAATTTTTATGATGGAAAATAATGAACAAGAAGAGGGGATCCAGCTTGCCTCTTGAACTCTCGGCTCAACTTGCAGGTTGTCACTGAAAAAAATACATCCTTCATTCCTGGACTGCTCACTATAAAAGTCCTTGTACAACCCTGAGCACAGAATGGTGTAATACATTCTGAGTTTCAGGCTGAAAACTGTGCTTTGAAAAACCACGGTGCTGCCAGATCCTTTCTTGAAATAAAAACCTGGTTTTGCCAAGACTTGGTGCTGACTCAGGAAGTGAATGCCTTTTGCAGGACTTCCATTTTTTTTCCTTTTCAAAAAATCTGCCTTCAAGGTTGAGTTAAAAGGCTAAACTAGCTAACTTGTTTTCTGGAGTTCTCATTTAAAAAAAAAAAAAAAAAAAAAAAGAAAGCGGATCATGACTTATGGCCCTGGTAATTTATTCCTAGGTCTCATTGGACAGTTTCACAGTCTCACATCTATGGCAGCAACTGTGATATGAGAAATGCTGAACTCTGGCATCACTAACTTGTGATGAGAGAACAGCAAGGGGAGGTCAATGCTGATATTGTAACCCCTTCTAGGACATTATTCGATAGCAGACATGTCAGACCTCAGGGTCTGATAATGTTTCACCAGTGCCCAAACCAGCTTTTTGTTTATAACTCAATAAGTTTTAGCAGTTTGTCTCTAGTCAACAAAGCTCTTAATGTATATTTTAACAGCTGTAGAATTAGATCTTGAGTGAGAAATATTTAATATTCTTAGGACAGCTTAAGAACCTGATCCAAACAAAACAGCAGTCAGTGCAAGGTTTTTATTGATTTCAGTAGGCTTTGAATCAGACTCCAGAGATTACCAGATTGTTCCTAGCTGTTATTACCTAGAAACGGTGGCAAACAGGATGACACAGAGATTTGTTAAATCATCACATGATTTAGCTCATTGTTCTCAGAGTACTTGCAAATATACTTATATATGCTACACCATCCCCAAGATGTTGGCAGAGACCTTTCAGGGCTGTCTCAAAAATATTTTTCCATGTCTTCCTGTGTTGGTGGTTTGCTCAAAATCTCTGTTGACAAAGCACAGCAAATTCCTGACAACAGTCTTAAGGAGGCTGGCATATAAATAAAGATATCTGAGAGAAGCCAAAAGCTATACTCTGATCTCTTTACACATCACATGTTCTGAGAGTGGCACCTTGGCTGCATAAATAATCCCTCTGGTGTCAACTGAGTTTTAGAATATATTGGCGAGGAGTGCAGGGGGAGAAATGTAAGGAGAGAAGCATTTAGCCCAAACCTGGCAAAAGCCCTGCTGAAATGAAGGCAAGGGCAAGAAGGGGTGGGGGGGGGAGAGGAGGGGGAATTGTTTGCTAAACAGAAAAAGGAAAAATTACCCGAGAGGCATAATTATGAAACATTTTAGCTGGTGATACAGGGAAGGTGGTTTGCTGACAGCTGTCTCTTCAAATGCAGCTGAGTGTGTTTCTCTGCAGTTCTTCTGTAGCCTCCCTTCAGACTGTGTTTTTCTTTCTTTCTTTTGGGCATCTTTTTAGAACTGAGCTCAGGACTTCCCCTTCTTTATGATGAAACTTCTCATCTGAAGAAAATAGAAACGGAGAGTGTGAAGGTAGTTGGACCATGGCCAGCCCTGCACATCAACATGAACAAGGTATAGCATATGCATATATACTTTTACACATATGCCAGAGAGCCCCTTTGTCACTTCATATTCAAAAGCTGCTGCTTTTTCACCTCCAATTCAAATCAATATTCATCTGCAACTGGTTTGCTTTTTAATCACCTCTCACCATCTCCTTATGGAACCAGGGTTTGGTTTTCAGATTTAGAATTTCCTTCAACTTTGCCTTTTAAAAATTCAGAAGCTGCTGCAACAATGTTATTATGTAGTTTTAGTTTAGTTTTGAAGAGTTAGTCATCTAGGCAGCCTGGAGCTGTAAAAAAACAACACTTCAAGTGTTAAAAAAAAAAAATCTTGGTTTTCTGCATGAGGAGTCTGTGCTCTGCCTTAAACCCCCTTGGCATCTGATGTTAGTGGGTGTTTTGAGAGTGAGTTTATGCAGGGTGGCAAAACAGCCATCTCCCACTATTCCTGCCAGGGATCAGAGGCCACCAGGACAGTGGCTACTCATATCCATGTGAGGCAAAAGCCTCTGTGCCTGCACTGTGGAGTGCCTTGATCTGAGTCTGGATGGAGCCACAGAGACCTAGAGCTCTGGTTTGCAACCACATCAATCCTTAGCTGAGCCCAGTGAAATCAATGAGAGCATTGCCACTGGCTTCAAATGAGGTGGGTCTGGGCCCCCAGTGACTCTACAGATCTGTTAAAAGAAATGTGTTTATTTAGAGGTTTTTGTCAGTTCAAGGGAAAACTCAATTAAATTACTTTAGCCTTGTTTTACAAATAGTCTGTTGTTATTGATATTATTTCAACAAGCATTAGAGAAATTAAAATCAAAGGGGAGATGGCAAAGTGTATCCAAAATGCAAACACAAAGGGTCTGTATTTATCTATGTAGCATAATCTTTCTTTTCTCTGGTTGGGAGAATCCACAAGATGGAAGTGAAGCCTGGAAATCAGTGACCCAGGTGTTTCTAATAAAAAAGGAAATCCCAGAATATTTTATTTCAACATTCTAGATGTTTGACATTAATCCATAACGCAGTGGATTTCCCTTAATGAAGGTTTGCTTGAAGAACCGTGTTCAGGATGTGTCATAGGGTGGTCGTATAGGGTGCCTTATGAATGTGGTCATGAAGAAATGACCTATGTCATGACTTTTGGAGACTTCTGAATGAACAGATGGAAAGTGGAATATTTTAGACTTTTTCCCAAATCTATTTGGTTGTCAGCCATGTGGAGCTGTCATTTTGTCAGACTGGTTGGTTTGAGTGGGAATAAAAAGTTTAATCATAAAATAGGCAAACTGGGGTAAAATGGAAAATAACTAATCTTTTTCCTGTGGACATTTCTCAAATTCTTCTTCTAGAAATACTCTTAACTGGTAATAGGTACAGTTTTTAATAGACAAAGCTAATTAAGCTTTGACACAGTTTGCCAAAAGAAAATTCTCCGTCTCACAGATTCATCCAGTGAATGCCTAGGTCTTGTGAGGCGAGCACTGTAGTTCAGATGTAATTGTTGATATTCTATCTTAACCCCAGCTGAGAACATTCACTTAGATGCAATGTCCAAAGTGTGCCTGAGAAGAAAATCCTACAGTATTAAGCTTATTGACATCTCAGTTTGCCATATATAAAGGGCTGAAGGGAAGAATAAAAGGATTCTTTCCGTGTTGACCACAGTGTACAAACCAGTCTGGCCTGTGTTGCTCAAAACATCCAAATAAATTATTTCAATGGTACCCATGTGATCTCAAAATCAGTAGAACTATTGCCTTTTTTCATTCTTTAAATGAAAGCTTAAAATACTTTGGTCATGTATTCCACCATACTTTGCAACTAGTCCCAGTAGAGTCCCTATGACTTCTGCCTGGCAAAGTCTGATCTCCAGTCCTCTTGCTCTTCTTTCTTCTCCGAAAAACCAGGGAGGGAGAACTCGGTTTTCTGTAATTAGTAGTTTTCTTTGGCTTGTCTTGACAGCTCTTGAATTTTATCCAGTCAGATGAATTATTTATTTAAGGACTAATTAGCAGAACCCAGTATCACAGCAATAAATGCAGCTGCACAGCAAATGCAGCCTCTGTCTGTTTTGATAAGACTTCCATCAGTCAAAGTTTAGCTGATGAAAAAATGTTGTGTTGAGCACCAGGAGCTGCTAAATGCTTCTGTTCCTAGCAGAAGCTCAGCAGAAGGCAAGGCAGGAGGCATGGGCTGTGTTATGAAAACCCTGTCCTGGCAGTCATAGAGGGTTTGGGTTTAAGAGCTGGGTAACAAGGCCACGAGCAGTGGTTACCATGTGAATGCAAAGGAGACCGGTCCCTCAAAATTTATTAAAATTGCCATTTTGAGCCACCTGAAAAGTGTTCATGCTCTTGAAACATACCCAGACTCACCACCAGAAAGCATCTCAGCTATAAAGCCCTCACGTTACAGGTGGTGAGTTGTGACCAACAAATCATTCTGAAGTTCTTTAGGCCCCTTGCTTGTGGTTTCTCTTTCAAGCACCGTTTTCTGACCTAGGTCCTAGTGAAATGTGTACACAGAGCTCATAAAGCTAAGTCAAAAAAAAACCACAAAGCTTTGAGGGGAGCCTGGAGGTGCCTCAGCAGATCACTTCTCCAATGAAAGAGGGGGACATACTGAAAATATTGGACTAACCCCGGGCTGAAATGCTATAGGCAGTGGGGCAGGTTAGACAGGACTAAACAACCTTAAACTGTGACAAGCATTTTTTGTGGACTCTGGCCTTTAAAGCTCCTTTTGGTTATGGTAGTTAACCAGCTACTCAGTCCAGCAGTGAACACATATTAATGAGTGGTCAGTGTGTCTAGTTTCTGGCAAAAAAATGAAAACTTAACAGCTCTCCTGCACCAGTCTATTGATTTCTATTCTGCTAAGTGCTTTTTATTCCCTAGTATTGCATCCTCTGAAATATTGTGCTTAAACAAAACCAGTGTAGTTATGCAGCTGCTTCATTTGTTCTGTTTCTGAAGATAAAGCAATGGTTTCCATGTCTATTGTGGAGTCCCAACTTTCACTGCCTCTCTTCCTGGTGCTAATTATATTTTCAATCAAAGTGTTTTGGGGCTGGATTTTGTCAGGCTTCATAATCAACCCCTAGGAGAATTAACAAGAAATTGGGTACATTAGATTCAGCAGTTAATTAATTTGATTGTCCACTACAGCAAACTTGGTCTCATGGGAATGATGATGTGTCCAATCTCTTTTCCAGAGCTGTTTGGTATCATGAACATGTCTGTCTACCTATTGAATGATAAACCTCAGTTTCAACATGTGTTTCATGCTGTTTGGTGCTAGAGGACTCCTTAATCACCAGGAGAGACAAACCTGAGTGTTGTAGCTGTGAATGTTATTTGGGATTTATTTCTTTTCTTGCATGTCTTTGCCTTCTCCCATCCCTTCTTGCTCCATGTGTGTACATGTATGCATATATATCATATAAAGCCAAGAATGTATTGTTAGCATTTCTGAAATCTTGGGACTCTAGTAATTATTAGTGCCCATGTAATTATTGCATAAAAAGAAAGAATACTAATACAGTTCACATTGTTTCTACTCCTTTTTCTGGTTGTGTGCTCACCCTTCCCTTACAACCCTGGCTCCTAAGCTGAGTGATTTCAGCCTGATGGGTGACAGAGGGGTTGTTCCCAAGAGTCCTTCAGCTAGAGGGATATGATGGTCATGTGTATGGTTTCCTCTTTCTCACTCTAGGATCCACTTCAAGTCCTTTTTGTATATTTGCAAACATGCTTTTACACTTTGCTCTTTGTTGATCTGCATCTTTATGTTACACCCAGATTGACTACACATGATGGTATACATTATCTAGGTACTTGGTCTTTGCTCTCTTCATTGCCCCTAAAATAATTTTTGTGCAGCTCCAGGTCTGCATTTCTTTAACTGACCATTGGTGAGTTGTTTATAAACATGGGGCCTCCAGTGCCTGCCTGTGCCCCTTGTGTTATCACCCATTGCCTGCCCTCCTCTGCACCAACTCCTGTGCCTCCACTTCTCAAAGCCTCTGTTATCATACCAGCCCTGTGTTGCTTCATACTAGTCATTGAGTTAGAGTCATAAATATCTCATTCTAAAAAGCATAACTGCTTGTGTTATTGTTTTCTACGTAAAATTGTTGCTCTTACAGATAAACCTAGTAAGACTGAAGCTGAAGGCAGGTCAAGAAACGTTCAAACAGAGTGAGCCTGATGAGCCTCAGTGGCCTTGCAAACTGTTCAATGGTGATGACCGTTTGCTAGCCTGGCAATACCATATTTCAGGGCTACCCCATTACACTGGTGACTGTTTGCAAATGATGCCACTTGCAAGAAAGCTGTGGAAGTACCAGTCCCATGCCCAGCTTCAAACTCCAAAGCTACCACAGTTCCAAAAATAATTTGTGGTTTAGGAAAACAAACAAACAAGCAAACAAAAATGAAGCCAAAACAAAAGAAGAAAAAAACCCACAAATACAACAAAAACAAAACACCAAACAAACAAAAAACAACACACACACAAAGTCCCCAAAAAAACAAGACACACAAAAAAGAAACAAAACACAAACCAAAAACCATGGGAAACATGGCTACTGTCACCTGGTAAGGCTATCATGAGGATTGGCACTGACAGAGGCAGGATCTAACAGAAGCATCGGATCATTTTTGAAAAAAACATTTAAGATCAAGTCTTAATCCAGCACTGCCAAGTCCACCACTAAGCTATGTTCCTAAGCACCACATCAACATGTCTTTTAACTACTTCCAGGGATGGTCACTCAACCACTTCCAGTGCCTGACAACCCTTTTAGTGAAGACATTTTTCCCAATATCTGATCTAAACCTCCCCTGGCACAACTTGAGGCTGTTTTCTCTTCTCCTGTTGCTTGTAAGTTGCGAGAAGACACAGGAGAAGACACCAACCCCCACCTCACTACAGCCTCCTTTCAGGTACTTATGGAGGACAATGAGGTCTCCCCTCAGCTTCCTCTTCTCCAAACTAAACAATCCTAGTTCCCTCAGTCTCTTCATGAGACTTGTTCTCTAGACCCTTCACCAGCTTTGTTGCTCTTCTCTGGACTCACTCCAGCACCTCCGTGTATTTCTTGTAGTGAGGGGGCCAGAACCAAACACAGAACTCAAGGTGCGGCCTCACCAGTGCCAGGTACAGGGGGATGATCACTTCTCTAGCCCCACTGGCCACTCTGTTTCTGATACAAGCCAGGATGCTGTTGGCCTTCTTTGCCAACAGCAATAATATTGAGCAATAGCATGTTATAAAATAAATTGGATACCAGGAGCTAAAGGGGTTTGCTCCAAGGATATAAGCAAGACAAGATTTACTGGGAGTTATATCTTTCATTAGACCAACTGATGGCTGACCTGAGGAAGATCTTGCTTATCTGACAGCTTAATGATGTTTTTTTTCTTCTTTGTCTGTTTTTTCCAACTGTATTTTTCTAATAAAAGATGAAGCTTCTGCTTGCAAACTTTGCCTTAAATAAGAATAACACATAATCATAAAGGTCTTACCACTATGGTGTCTGTAATTGGTGTTAGCTATCGCATGGAAAAAATTCAATAAACCTCCTGGTGGAAAAGAGGTGAAAGAGTCTGTAAATTTTCATGCACATTTGCAGATGTAGTGGAGTCCCAGGAAGACAAATAGTTTGACATTCCATAGCTAATGTGCATTCATAGAATCATGTAATTGTTAAAGCTGGAAGGGACCTTAAAGATCATCAGGTTCCAACCCCACTGCCATGAGCGGGGAACCCCATCACTGGATCAGGTTGCACAAAAACTCATCCAACCTGGCCTTAAAAACCTCCAGGGATGGGGCATCAACAACCTCCCTGGGCAACCCATTCCAGTTCCTCACCACCCTTATAGTGAAGAACTTCTTCCTAATATTTAACCTAAATCTCCCCTCTCTCAGTTTAAAACCATTGCCTCTTGTCCTATCGCTATCTTCTCTGATGAAAAGCCCCTCCCCAGCTTTCCTGTAGCCCCTTTCAAGTACTGGAAGGCCCCTATAAATTCTCCCTGGAGCCTTCCTTCTCCAGGCTGAACAGCCCCAACTCTCTCAGCCTGTCTTCATAGCAGAGGTGCTCCAGGCCTTGGATCATCTTGGTGGCCCTTCTCTGGACCCTCTCTAACAGCTCCATGTCTTTCCTGTGCTGAGGGCTCCAGAACTGTACACAGTATTCCAGATGTGGTCACACCAGAGCAGAGTAGAGGGGCAGAATCACCTCCCTGGCCCTGCTGGCCACACTTCTTTTAATTCACTAGCTATATATATCTGTGTTTGTCTTCATTACAATGTTACCTCCCACTAGCAGTGATAGCTAGCAATGAAGGACCGACCTGTGTTCCTAAACAAAATGCTAATAATCTCCTTCAGCTGTCTCCAGCTTAAGGCATGTTTTAAAGATACTGTTTGGCTAGGAAGAGAATACTGATAAATTTGCAGAAGCAAAGGTCGTGAATCCTGCTTTTGGTACAAAATTTGATGTGGGACAAAGCATGAGCCTTTAAAAGCAGGGAGAGTGGAAATGTTAAGTACAGGAGTGGTATTGCTGTGCTTCATACAACTATTTTTATATTCTGCATATGTACTTAATATTCAGTTAGTGTTGCAAACTAAAGCCAGTGTCATTGTTATCTAACACTGTACAAATCTGCCTTCAGTTCTAGTATCAGCAAATGTAATTGAATTTAAAGTCAATATTTGGGAGGAGAAAAGCAAAGGTAAGACCTCAATTATAAAAAGAAAAAGGCATCTAGTTTTATGTGTTTATATATCCCATCTTGTTCAACCTACTTCTATCAAACCCATTTAAATACAATTCTCCAGTGTTCTCTGGAAAAATAAAGTTCTGCATCAATGGTGAAAGTGATGTGAATATACTGCTATTTTTTAGCACCAGCAGAACTGGAGATGGAAAATTGGAGTGTTATCAGGTATCTTAACTTAATGGGTTTTTTCCTCATTTGTAAACCTTTTAGAATGAGCTTAGATTGCAATTTTAAGCAAGAAGATTATTTCTTTCAAATGCAAGTTTGACTCCCATTCACTTGAAAGGGGCATTGGAGTTATTTTGGAATTACATGTTAAGAAACTATAAAATTGGAAGTTTAATTAACATTATGCTGTGTTTAGTTTTCTAATTACTTCCATGTAGAATGCTCTTAGCTTATAAATGAAAATAAAATCTAAGAACTGGCAATGTGTTGCAACATTTGAATACCCAGCTGCTATCTTTATGCTTCACTCCTTACTGCAAGCAATAAGGATTCTGGAAATGCAAGATTTCTTTATTATACAGCAGAATAAAGGAGATTACAGCTTTTTTTTACAGCAGATTGCAGCAAAAGTGTATAGATATTCCTAATGCATGCAGGTTTTAGATCTTTGATTTTATGATAGACTAGGGAAATGAATCATATAAGGTACTGTATGGTTTTGTATAGTCCTGAAATATTGGGTTTTCTTTTGCCTTCTTGATTACAATTGTACTTCTGGAGTAAAACTGGGGGGTGAATGAGGGTGTACCTAAAGATCAGAGGTATTAAGGAACAATAGGAATTTGTATAGATGCTTAGAAGTGCTAATAGTCTGCAGTAAGGAGGTGCTGCTTTGTTCTGTGATTTGAGTTCACTTTTAGTCTGAATCTTCAGTGGCATTGCACATATATATGTACTTTTCTCAGCTAACCATCTGTGTGAGGCAGAATTCAGTAATGATTCAGGATGTGCTTCACTGTGTAGAAAAGTCCATCATGGCCAAGGCAGGTTAGCAAAGTGTTTGCCTTTCACCCATCTTCTGAAGTTAGAGGACATCTGGGTCAGGTTGAGCACTCCCAAGCCCCATATGGGATCTGTGTGCAGTAGCATTACCCTGGGGGAGGTGGTGGCCTTTGGCTGCTGACTCAGCATCTGGTGAAGAGTACAAAGCCAAGCAGCTGATTGCAGCAATGTCTGCTCTTCATGTGTGATCAGTCACTACAGGTACTGCTGCTCCTAGTAGGATGCAAGCAAAGCAAATATTGCTTGCTTGAAGATTGAAACAAATCCAAACAAGAACTAATGCAAAACTGACTGCCCAGGAATGGTTTCCAAGAAGGCTGCAGCCTCCAGCAGTGGCAGCAGTTTTCCCTTTTCAGCCAGATCACTGAGCATCAGCATTTGGGCCTCTCAAGTTATGAGAATCTTACAGAGAGATTTGCACATTAGACCCCTCACAGGGGACAGTCTCCATTACATGGAGTCATCTGGTGTAATCTCACTACAGAAGGAGGTTTAGACCTTCTGTGGATTAAGTGAAGAGGGTAGAAGAAGTTAGACCTTCACTGCGAGGGTGGTGAGACACTGGAAAAAGGTTGCCCAGGGAAGCTGTGGATGTCCCTTCCCTGGAAGTGTTCCAGGCCAGGTGGGACAGGGCTTTAAACAGCCTGGTCTAATGGAAGGTGTCCCTGCCCATGGCAGGAGGGTTGGAAATAGATGACCTTTAAAGTTTCTTCCTACTCAATCCGTTCTATGATTCTATGGTTCCCAGCTACAGAACAGCCTTGAGGACTGGTGTGGTGCTCTTCATCAATTCGGGCAAATTGGGAAGAGGAGGAAGAACATAAGGACTGAAAAATATCCACACCCACCTAAACAACAGATGGACAGGGCTTATGAACTTTTCAAGTTATGAAACAAGGCTGTGTCATAAACAAGCATCAGTTATCTTTTTTTAGCTAGTAAAATAGAGTTGCTTAATTTTGCTTGACTGAAATTATATTAAATTAGTATCCAGCGTTAAAACAAAGATGGGATTTTCCATGGCCTTTAGAAAAGTCACTACTTCATGTACTGTTCTTTCAACTGTTAGAAATCAATACACTTAAATTTGACAGTAATAGCAGCACTTTTAAAGTGTGTAGTACTGCACTGCGGCTACCAAAGCACAGGTCAAGGAAATGTTGTACTTTCTTTACAGTTAATTTATCCTTCTTATTATCTCCACTGCTCAGCTTCATGAGTACCCCAGAAAAGCCACCTACGGCAAATGAATATTTCTGGGGTTTTTTTTCATATGTTTGCCAGAACTGCCATTAGATTCAAGGCTGAATAGATTATTTAAGGACAAGTTGGATGAAGCTTTTTGCAACCTGGTCTAGTGGGAGGTGTCCCTGCTCATAGCAAGGAGGTTGGAATCTGTTGATTTTTAAGGTCCCTTCCAACCTTAACCATTCTGT